CAAACAAGCAGTAGAATCTGGTTTAGAGGGAAATGCGCGGTGAGAGAAAAAAAGTGGGAAGAAAGCGAGAAAAAGTGAGAAAAAAGTGAGAAACATAAGAGAGACTAAGTGCCCAAAAACCGCTCCCACGATTACTTTTGGTGCTGTTTCTGTTGGTTAGCTGATTCGCTTCTTTTCTCAAAAGATTTGCTTAGCCCACACGACGCACGATTGGATTCCTGGACCGCGCGCGTGGTAAGCGTGCCACTAGCCGCCGCTCCACTGCCGTCCTTTTTCGAAGAGTAACATATATAATTCCAAGTCTGCTGGAATGAACTCGACTCGAGTCTCCAAGAACTCGATTTCTTTCAGAAACACCCGGAAAGTATGTAGGCCCATGATTTCTGAGACACTTTACATGTACTGCTGTAGCAATATTTCGAGTAGTATTGAAGCCACCCTACATGCCTTGCAACTCAACATACGAGCTCTCCTATCTAGGAAGTTAGCCATCCCATTTCCTCTTTGCTTTCTTTGATTAGGATTCCGCATTCTTCAAAACATCTTTCTGAGCCTCTTTCCACTTGATCACTGTTTAGAACCTTCCATGAGCAGGGCTAGATAGAATCAACTAGAATAAGGCACAGTCCCAATCCACGGAGTACCGTTGGTTCACTATACTCAGGGTTGGCTTTTATTCAATGATGATCCAAAGGCCAACCATCCTGTGGCTGGCGATCTTGATGCCTACCCGACGTCTTTTGAAAAGAAGTCTAAACATACTTGCTGCTTATTTGCTGAGAACGCTTCTGATGGGATGAGAAGAATACTGAGATATCCCCTTATAGTCGTCAAGGTCAGAAAATATGGAGTCTTACATCTCTCATTGCTCTAGGCCTGATTCGGCTCCATACACGATCTGAACCCTCATGTTCGTGTTGGTTTTCGAGGGTTCTTTCATTGGGACCATCCCAGCATAGTCGCGGAATGTGGTCTAACCATAGTGCAGATGTTCCAACAACTTGAACAAACAAAAAGCTCAACCTCCACTAAATCCGATCCTTCTGAGTTGCTTGGATAATACAAGAGGGGCTTTGCGCTGTGAAACAACGCCCAATCAGGGGTCTGTCCTATCGTTGTTACTTTTTTCGAAAAATTTTTACGACCCCCTCCCCCAACGTGGATTTGATACGACCCCCTTTTCCATACCTCCACCATCTCCATCTTCCATCAAAACCCCGCCCACTTTTTCCTCCAAAAATGCCGTCGAGCGGGGGATATATAGTCACTCTGAAACGGTAAAATATCTCCGAAAATTTTTCGGATCACTACTTCCTTTTCTAGGGGGGTATATACGCCCGCTGAAACGGCAAATTTTTATCCTGCGCGCCCTCCACTCGCCCAGCCTACTACCCACGAAATCTTAGTTTCACCTCAATCCCACACGTGATTTCGAGCGACTAAAGTGGGTACGACCCCCCCCCTACAAACTCAACCAGGTACGACCCCCCCGTTGTTACTCGTAACAACGTAGGGTTGACCCTGCTCAATAATTACAGAGGTTCGGCGAAGGAAGAAACCACCCCACGGCAACAGTCGATTGCGTCGCCTCTTGAAACTGGGAAAGAGCAAATTAGGACAAAGGCCTGATATTTTTTCCTGCGGCTCGTTTGGAACCACCTTGCAAGAAAGTTCAGAAATTCGGCCCGATTTCATCTCTCTCAACTGTCGCCGTAATAGCACACCGCTCTGCTCTGAATGCATGGCGCATCGCAAAAAGACATCACCGCCAAATGTTTATCTTTTATCTTTTTGACACCTCAATCATTTGACGTGCAGCGCACTTGCCCGGAAAGCAAGAGGCCAGTGTTCGAATCCCGTTTTTGAGGCAAAAGCAGTTATCGTTCCAAAGCTCAGCATCTTGTGAAATGAAACCTCAATCATCCTCTTTTTCATGAAAAGACTGTGTAAACAGCACCGTTGACGTGATAAGAAGAGGTGATACGGCACAACAGGGGGAAATCTCATTCAAATTTTCCCATCACGCTTAGGAACGTGTTCTGGCTTTTTGTATTAAAACAACTTTCCAAGCTATTTGAAGGAGAATTTCCGGAATAGTATGCTGTTAGCTGAATAGCCTGACTGCTAGAAACTTGTTTGCAGCTCTTTTCCCCATGATGCCTTTACTTTTTATTTCGGCGTTAAACCATCTTTCCTATTGTGTGTTTCTGAGTTTGGTGCGAATCACTTGAATTGCCTCGCATAGCCAAAGGAACGATTGCAACACTATACAGGGTCAGCTTGTTAAAAACCACCTACCGTTATTAAACGGACCGCTTAAAAGGGCTTTCGCAACAGCTGAACTTGTTTGGCTGTCAAAGTAACCTATTATCATCTAGAAAGGTTTGGATTCGCCCGATTGATGTCCCTGATTTCCGGTACATAAGCCCGAGCTGGCTCCACGTAAAACTCCGATCCGATCGTGTAGTGTACTTGCGTACATCTACAGACTATCGTAACTTTGGCTGTAGGGCTACTACTCTTGTTCCACCAAGTTTGGTGTAAACTTCTGTATAGGGGTCATTTGGTGCCCTGATTACGCAATCCATTCTTTTTTGACAGCAAGCGTTGTGTTCAACGCATATTTTCCTATAAACTAGTCACTAAAGTGGGAGGGCGCAGAAGAGCAGAAAATTGGCGTCAAATGACGCTGATGATGATGATTCATAATCAGAACACCAATAACCTCTATACGGAAGTTAACACTTGGTGAAAACCACGGCCATGAAAAGGTGAAGTCGAACTGGCGCCAGATGGCCCACCGCTGGAAATGAATGTCATTTTCGTAATCAGGACATCGAATTACCTCTAAAGTTACTGCAGTCTGTGGGTCTACGCAAAAATGCACTAGCGGAGGCACGTGTGATTGGCTAGGGCTTATCCACTGGGATCTAGGGTGATTTCTCTGCCAACGGGAGCTCTCAAAAGCCGCTAAGGAATCCAGAACCTATTGGCTTCTTCTTGGAAGGATCCGGGGTGGTATCAGAGTTACCAAACTGCTTGATGCCACGATGGATGCATCCTCCAAGCAAATGAAGTCCCTGCACCAAACTTTTGAAGGTAGATTCGAGTGTAAACGCTGAGTGTTGTTCTTTATTGGAGGAATGAGCTGTTTCCAACCAGAACTGATGTTCTTTGTTGGGTACGGTTTTTTGAGTACCACTAATTTGCACGCCCGTACACATGAAAACCTGGGCTGAAAAGACGGGCTCCGAAATGAGCCGAATATATCGCTTACTGCTTTCCCAGACTATTTTTCTTCTTAATTTTGTCGGGTCGCTCGGTTCGTTCTGAGCGGCTATGCCAGAATGCTAAGGCATAACGTTTGTTGTGTCCAAAAGGGTATGAAGCTACTCCTAAGAAGGACTTCTGAATAACCTCCTAACTACTTAAAGTATTAGGGATAGTAAAAGGCCATTCAAAACATCGAGATAGAAGTAGAATGTTTCTTACTTCTGCGATTACCAACATATGTTTGATTTACTTGCTGTGTTTCTTTCCCATCAAGTTTCGTGACTTGTTCCATTAAATCGTAATTCTTCAGTGTTTTACTCACTTACTAGTAAGCGTGACTGTTCGAGGGCGCATGAGTGATGTTCTTTCATTTAAGGGTATGCTCTGGTTCTGCACAGTTTTACTCGGAACCGTAGCCGCACTTGACAATGGCTTAGCAAGGTTTGTTACGAACTTTTGAACGGCTTACACTAAACATTTAATTGATTAGCGTCAATCGTTCCACCTTAACATGCGCTTACTTTTTTCTCTTACTTTCTTCACCTTCCTACTTTTTTGTAAGGGTATGGTACTTATGTCGTTGAGCTAAGGCCTCCATGAGCGCGACACTTGTTATTTTAGGGAGCGAAATGTCTATAGGTTTTAGAATTCACATAAGGAATATGACGTTAGAGACTTTCGGTGTAAGACAAGTGTGAACTAATGGGAGACTAAATAGCGATAAGGATCGAAGTCTAGGAAGACTGCTTACATGAGCATTCAAGTTCCAATAATTCGAATTGACATACAGGATATTCGATACAGAGCTTTAAACGCTGATAAATACGTCAAACTTGAACTGCAAATGAACCTTGCCAAGGAAGTTTGAGCAATCAATATGCTGAAAAAATCTTGCGTATACAAACCATGCTAGCCTCTGAGCCTTCAAATATTGCTGTTAGTAGACGTAGTCTTGAAAGTACGCTCCACGGAAAGGAATTGGATCCCTAGGAAACGAGTGCACACTACATAGTGCGATGACTATCGAAAGCCGGATATAGCCCGGTTAATAATGCAACAGCTATATTAGTCGCTTGACTACTTTCCAGCTTTCCATCAGTTATTTTGCAACTATTTTTCTAATTCTTGTACGTAACGGTTTAACGGTATCTGCACATTTGGTCTAATTCAAATCTTTTGATGGGAGTTGAGTGCCTCCCTTAGTGGAAGACAATTGACCCTCAGAGTGAGCTCGGGCGCAGTTCACGACGAAGGATATGCACAGCGCGATTCTCATGGTCGTTCGTGCTAACTTGAAAAGCACGCCCGTAATAAGGGAATCTCGTCCGTCTGGAAGAGAAGGCTTTAGCGTTAAAGAATGTAGCACTATAAAATACATCACTGAGGGATCATTAGGCAAGAGGTACTGATCATTTCTCATGGTCTATCCTTAATTCGGCACTACTGCAACCTCCCCTCAATTTTAATGGCGGCCTCTGATCGTAATCTCTACCCCACCCTAAGATCGACTATTAGATACTGAAGAATAGCCAATAAATTTGGCAAGAAACGGGTCCCATTTTGAAGGTTTCTTCTGGAGCCGCTCTTAGAATGCATTCAGAAAGGATTATTTATATCTATTTTTCAATTTATTTCAATTTTTTGATGGGCATTCAATGCCAACTCTATAAACTTCCGTTCAAACTTCCAAATAGAAAAACAATTTCTACCATTTTTGAACCCCTCCAATGGGATGGATGTCATGGACGGCGTTCTACTGCGAAATGGACTGTGTTAAACATCCAAAATCCTGCATAAATGAGAATCTCTACATGGAAATGGCGAACGCCTTAGGTAAGCATTTCCTTCTACAAAACTACCACAGGACTGAAATTTTGAGCTGTCATTTCCCAGCTGCCATTTTCAAAGGCACAAATGTTTCAGTAGTTGGTGGTTATCGAGATGCCGGCTACGTGAGCGTGCATGTAGACGACTGTTGGATGGGACGCCAACGGGATCGGGCCACAGGGAAGCTCACTGCTGATCCAATCCGATTTCCCAGCGGGATGCACAACTTAGCCAGATACGTCAGTAGATTACATATTCAAAAAAGAAGCAGTGAACTTGTTACTGAATGCCTTCTTCAGATGCACGTCAGAGGGCTAAAATTCGGTATCTACGAGGACTTTGGTACGAAGACATGCGCCGGGTTTCCTGGCAGCTTGGGTCATTTGCAGGTGTGCTCCCTTGAAAATGTTAGGGTGCTTAAGAAAAGAACGTATTTTTGCCTTGCAGCTTGATGCCAACACATTTGCTGAATGGGAAGTAGACTATTTGAAACTAGATGGCTGCAATGTGGATACGGCACTGATGCCTCAAGGTGAGTATTCGATGAACAAGGAGGTGAGGGAAAGGTGGGGAAAAAACGGGCTACTTTTCTTGGTCCACATTCAACATTGGATCACATCAACATCAAATCGTGGCTGAATCTAGCCGGATGTTTCCCACTTGATTACCAAACACCATCTGAACTAATCCTCATCTTCATAACGAGTTCCATTACAGTAACATCCTTTTCTTTCAGAACGTAGAGCTTCCTAATGCGCATCAAGGGCAAAGACTTTTTTGCCCCTCCCCCCACTTCCTCTCCTTTAGTTCAGTGACCAGACTGAGAAAAGTGGGTCCTTCCCGGAAAAATCATGATTCTATCTGATCCATAAATCACTGGCTTAAGACAGATATTTCACGATAAGAACGAAAAGAACAAAAATTTGCATTTCTTGGGGTAAAAAACTCGAAAACCGGAATGGACTGATACGCATTCGAAAAATTCCCGCCGGACATCTGTCACAACTGTTGGCGGTGGGAACGCTTCTGCTTGGTCCACGAGTGCTGTCGCTGAATCGGGTGGACGTAAGCAAACCAGCCCTTTTGGCGCTTCGGCTGGGACCGTATGCTGAATGTTGGGGAGGGGATGGAGTCCCCGACGGTGGACGGACCACTTCAACTCGGTCCTTAGAACCGCCACAATTTGGTGCTACCTCAGAACTAAGCCTTAAAGAGAGGACGGGTCCGTCCCCTCTCCAAGGCTTAGTCCTGGGGTGAGCAAACCAGCCCTTCTGGCGGAGCTGCTGGACCAGCTGCACCACTTGCGTCAGTACTCTCCTATCGTACCAACCGAGTTGAAGTAAACCGTCGACCGTTGGGGACCCCATCCCCTCCCCAACATTCAGCATACGGTCCCAGCCGAAACGCCAAAAGGGCTGGTTTGCTTACGTCTCTTTTACACTTTTGATTACTTACTTGCACTGACACCTCACACTTCTACTCCATCCTATTCTATCAACCGATTTGTCTCTATTGTCCAAAATCGAGCGCTTCAACCCAATTTTTCCAATGCGTTGCCAGATACGTAGCCACTGAAAGGCCGTTCAGCGCGACAACCTTCGTTGTTGTTTGTCTCTAGCGTTCAACATCTGACCCATTTCATAAATAGAAGTGCGAAGAATTTCTTCGAAGATTCCTTTATGTATCCGCGTTTCCGACCTATTGCTATGCGCAGTGAATTTGTCCAGCAGTCACTATCTCAAGCATGTTGTAAAGCGCACTGAACCTTATTCAACCACGTAATCATAATCCCATTTTCATTTTTGAGTCTCAAATTCTTCAACTTTCTTTCTTCACTGAGCTGAGCAGATTAGAGAAGCTTCTGTTCGGCACAACAATTCATCCAATATAAGCGTCCTGGCCTCCTTTTCCTTGCGCCACATGTTGACTAACTCTTAAGTGACACGCTAATTCAATAACGAAAGTTCATGTCTTGAGAGTTTATATTTCACCTCTGTGTGCAATGGCAAAGGTGGATCCGAAAGTGCATGTTTCGTTTTTAATTAACAATGCCCCAATTAGCAGTAGCGTTTGGTGGACTTGAACTCTGCGAAATACACGTTTTTTGCTATTTTCTAATGCAGTATTTTGACATAGCGCAAGGCTGGACCAAAAGAGATGTAGGAATGATAATTCAGCGCTGTTCCCGCATTCGATGAATTTATGATCAGTAAAATCGGTTGAGTGCATTGGATTCGATGGATTTTCCGTTCTTTCATCTGAACCAAAAACTTACACAAGCAATTCCCACTTTCGAAAAATACGGTTTATTGCTTAACAGTTTGATTTCGTGGGACTAAGCGAAAGCAATGGCGCGTCACGTTGTACTTCTGACGAATTGATTCAGGCCAAAAGAGACCTCTTTTTGAGCTCGTTCTGATTGTTATTAAACCTCAATAAAAAGAAGAAAGTTGGCCACTATATTGACCAGTCTTTTCAATTTATACCATAGTCTACAATAAATTAAATGATCTTGTGATTTTGGATGGAGGTCGAGGGCATGGCGCATCTCATTTCTCATTTCCCCTTCTTCGTTGAAAATTTCCTTCGCTTTTTTCTATACGGCGTGCCAAGCAGGCAAAAGTTAATCATTGCAGATAGTCACGTCGTTATATGAAATCCATTCCTTCTTCTTTCCTAGAACAGCTTTATAAATCTGGCACATGGATAATGTTTCAGTTGACTCAAGAATGCGGACGTTTACACTTTCACCTCTCATTCTGGCCTTACTGTTTACTTTACCGAATCATCTTACTGGTTTATCACTTTATAAACCAAGTTTCTGAAGAGAAAACGGCGGAGCCAGATCGTTGCCATAGAACCCGCGTTCGTGTGACTCACATATCGAGCGGAGTTGTGACGCAGGCATGGCTAGCAGATTAACGGCGACAGCAACCAGTGCTTCCGTGGCGCAATAGGCAGCGCGTTCGGCTGTTAACCGAAAGGTTGGTGGTTCGAGCCCACCCGGGAGCGAAATTTTTGCATTTTTCGTTGCTACTGCGAAATGATGTGAAATTCATGGGAAATGGTTTTTCAGTTGTAATGATGTCAAATTGGGGTCTTCCGTTAAACTTTCGATCAACCGTAATTTTTGGGTTACTTTGGTTTACTTTACCTTACTTTTTACTACTTTCGTTTACTTTACAAAAGTAGAAATAGAGGAACTGAACGATTTAGTGCGATTATTAAGTTGTTGTAGATCAATTATGGGGCTTCAAAATTTCAAATGCGCTTGTGAAGGTGAAACGCCAAATTAGGCTTGGAAGTCGGCTGGTTCCAGCTTACTTATAATCCAAATTGCATCCG